TTGCATAAATATTATAAAGTTGAATTTTGATCAAACNTATTTTGATTTCATTAGNTNNAATACTTTTATGTNTAAAATTGGTTAAAACATATGCAAAGTTATTTATTTCAATATATTTTAAGTGTAAAATTAATTTTAAATATTCGTGTAAATTATAAACTATGTGAAATCATAGAAATTTTAGATTTATATTAATATGTCGGACATAACAAACAAAAACAATATATTTTTTCAATAATTAAATGTGTAAATATTTGTAAGTTTAGTTATATATGTATAATAGACTATATCAAAATTAAAACATATGTATAGTGTGCTAATCTAAATACATATATAACAGTATATGGTAAGTCTAAAATATGACATTTAGTTGGGTTTAAAATGTTAAAACATTTATTAGTGGATTTATGTTAAATTTTAAAAACTCATAAGAAAATGTATATAATTTCTACCATAGAAGAAAATTCAATTAAATTGAAATATTTTGATTGAAATATTTCGATTGGTTAAATGAAGCGATGTGTCCATTAAATTGCTCATTGACTCACATCACAATTTTTTCTTCTATTGTCACTTCAATTAATATATAGAAGATTCAAAATAGTTTATGTTTCGGATATATTGATTTTTCAAGATTAATATAGTATCCAAGAAACAAAGAAACATGAAAATTTGTCTAAAGAAACTGATTTAATTTTTCAGTTAAAATTTTGTTTTTTTAATTAATTTTTTAATTTTGAATTCATTTCGTTGGGTTTGGATCGAAGTTTAACTTTAATTTTTTGAGAGAGAACAAAATCTACAAATATGATTGGGTGCTGTCGACAAAAGAAAAGAACTTTAGTTAAATTCGGTGGGTAATTTAGGTGAAATATAGTAATTAAAGTTTTTTAATATTATTTCCATAAAATATTTTGAAAGCATTAATAATTTCTTAAACCCCTCTTTGATTGACACCTAGGATTTTTCTTAGTGTCTCCTCTATTAATATATAGAGGATGCTATAGAATAATTTTTTATTATATAAAATTTCCAAAATCAA